TAGTGTGTGTACAGTGTGTATAGTGTGTGTGTGTATAGTGTGTGTGTACAGTGTGTACAGTGTGTGTGTGTACAGTGTGTACAGTGTGGTAGTGTGTGTAGTGTGTGTGTGTATAGTGTGTAGTGTGTACAGTGTGTATAGTGTGTATAGTGTGTGTGTGTGTATAGTGTGTGTATAGTGTGTGTAGAGTGTACAGTGTGTGTATAGTGTGTGTGTGTGTACAGTGTGTATAGTGTGTATAGTGTGTGTACAGTGTGTATAGTGTGTGTACAGTGTGTATAGTGTGTATAGTGTGTGTACAGTGTGTATAGTGTGTATAGTGTGTGTGTGTACAGTGTGTGTGTGTATAGTGTGTGTACAGTGTGTATAGTGTGTATAGTGTGTGTGTATACAGTGTGTGTGTGTGTGTATAGTGTGTATAGTGTGTGTACAGTGTGTATAGTGTGTGTGTATAGTGTGTGTACTGTGTGTGTGTATAGTGTGTGTGTGTGTACAGTGTGTATAGTGTGTGTACAGTGTTATAGTGTGTATAGTGTGTGTACAGTGTGTGTATAGTGTGTGTGTGTGTGTGTAGTGTGTATCAGTGTGTGTAGTGTGTATAGTGTGTGTTAGTGTGTGTGTGTGTGTATAGTGTGTGTGTGTGTATAGTGTGTATAGTGTGTGTACAGTGTGTATGTGTGTGTACAGTGTGTTAGTGTGTGTGTGTGTGTATAGTGTGTATAGTGTGTATCAGTGTGTGTGTGTGTACAGTGTTATGGTATAGTGTGTGTACAGTGTGTATAGTGTGTATAGTGTGTATAGTGTGTGTATAGTGTGTACAGTGTGTACAGTGTGTATAGTGTGTATGTGTGTATAGTGTGTGTGTGTGTATAGTGTGTATAGTGTGTATAGTGTGTGTATGTGTAGTGTGTATAGTGTGTGTATAGTGTGTGTATAGTGTGTGTACAGTGTGTGTGTGTGTATATAGTGTGTGTACAGTGTGTATAGTGTGTGTATAGTGTGTGTACAGTGTGTATAGTGTGTATACAGTGTGTGTATAGTGTGTATAGTGTGTGTGTGTACAGTGTGTGTGTGTGTACAGTGTGTTAGTGTATAGTGTAGTGTGTTACATGTGTGTATAGTGTATAGTGTGTGTAGTGTGTATATGTGTGTGTACAGTGTGTATAGTGTGTGTATAGTGTGTGTAAGTGTGTGTGTGTGTGTTGTGTGTGTGTACATGTGTATAGTGTGTGTATAGTGTGTGTATAGTGTGTGTGTGTATAGTGTGTATAGTGTGTGTGTGAGTGTGTGTGTGTGTACCAGTGTGTATAGTGTATGTGTGTGTGTAGTGTGTGTATAGTGTGTATAGTGTGTACAGTGTGTACAGTGTGTGTGTATAGTGTGTACAGTGTGTATAGTGTGTGTATAGTGTGTGTGTGTGTACAGTGTGTATAGTGTGTGTATAGTGTGTATGTGTGTAGTGTGTATAGTGTGTATAGTGTGTTATAGTGTGTATGTATAGTGTGTTAGTGTGTGTGTGTGTGTGTGTACTGTGTATAGTGTGTGTGTACAGTGTGTACAGTGTGATAGTGTGTGTACAGTGTGTACAGTGTGTATAGTGTGTGTACAGTGTGTATAGTGTGTAGTGTGTATGTGTTGTGTGTGTGTGTGTGTGTGTGTACAGTGTGTGTTAGTGTGTGTGTATGTGTGTGTATAGTGTGTGTGTGTAAGTGTGTGTCAGTGTGTATAGTGTGTGTATAGTGTGTGTGTATTGTGTGTGTATAGTGTGTGTATAGTGTGTGTATAGTGTGTAGTGTGTGTACAGTAGTGTGTGTACAGTGTGTAGTGTGTGTACAGTGTATGTGTACAGTGTGTGTATAGTGTGTGTGTGTACAGTGTGTATAGTGTGTAGTGTGTACAGTGTGTTATAGTGTGTAGTGTGTGTACAGTGTGTATAGTGTGTGTGTAAGTGTGTATGTGTGTGTGTGTGTATAGTGTGTGTACAGTGTGTGTGTATAGTGTGTGTGTGTGTGTATAGTGTGTGTATATGTACAGTGTGTATAGTGTGTGTGTGTGTGTATAGTGTGTATGTAGTGTGTGTATAGTGTGTGTGTGTGTATGTGTGTGTGTGTATAGGTGTGTACAGTAGTGTGTGTACAGTGTGTGTACAGTGTGTATAGTGTATAGTGTGTGTATAGTGTGTGTTATGTGTGATAGTGTGTGTTGTGTGTGTGTGTGTATGTGTGTACAGTGTGTGTACAGTGTGTGTGTGTGTATAGTGTGTGTGTGTGTATAGTGTGTATAGTGTGTGTGTGTGTGTGTGTGTATAGTGTGTGTGTGTATAGTGTGTGCATAGTGTGTGTGTACAGTGTGTATAGTGTATATAGTGTGTGCATAGTGTGTATAGTGAGTATAGTGTGTATAGGGAGTATATGTGTACAGTGCGTATAGTGTGTATAGTGCATGTGTGTACAGTGTGTATAGTGTGTGTGTGTATAGTGAGTATGTGTGTATAGTGTGTATAGTGTATGTGTGTACAGTGTGTGTGTGTATAGTGTGTGTATATAGTGTGTGTGTAGTGTGTATAGTGTGTGTATAGTGTGTACAGTGTGTTATAGTGTGTGTACAGTGTGTATAGTGTGTGTACAGTGTGTATGTAGTGTGTGTATATAGTGTGTGTGTGTGTGTGTGTGTACAGTGTGTATAGTGTGTGTGTGTGTGTATAGTGTGTGTATATATAGTGTGTATAGTGTGTATAGTAGTGTGTGATAGTGTGTGTGTGTGTACAGTGTGTGTATAGTGTGTGTGTATAGTGTGTATAGCAGTGTGTATAGTGTGTATAGTGTGTATACAGTGTGTATAGTGTGTGTATAGTGTGTTGTATAGTGTGTGTACAGTGTGTATAGTGTGTATAGTGTGTATAGTGTGTGTAGTGTGTGTACAGTGTGTATAGTACAGTGTGTATAGTGTGTACAGTGTGTATGTGTGTATAGTGTGTGTGTGACAGTGTATAGTGTGTGTGTATAGTGTGTGTGTGTGTATAGTGTGTGTATAGTGTGTGTACAGTGTGTGTATAGTGTGTGTGTAAAGTGTGTGTGTATAGTGTGTGTATAGTGTGTGTACAGTGTGTATAGTGTGTGTGTATAGTGTGTGTGTATAGTGTGTGTGTATAGTGTGTGTGTACAGTGTGTGTGTTGTTAAATTTCGTTAAAATGATCAAATCAAATGTTGGAGAATCAGGAGTTTGTTTCACTTCTTTATTAGAAATGTTTTTTTAATAAAACATCAGGACACTGCTCCTGTCGCTCCTGCCGCTCCTGTCGCTCCTGCCGCTCCTGCCGCTCCTGTCGCTCCTGTCGCTCCTGTCGCTCCTGCCGCTCCTGTCGCCCCTGTCACACGGGCATCTGCAGCTGCTCGTACTCGTCGCGCTCCGGCTCCACCTCCGGCTCCTCCCCGTCCAACTGCAGCACAAACACACACTCACACACACACTCCAGATGCCCTCCCGCACACTCCTGTGTGTCAGGTACACTCCAGATGCCCTCCCGCACACTCCTGTGTGTCAGGTACACTCCAGATGCCCTCCCGCACACTCCTGCGTGTCAGGTGCGGTCCTGTGTGTCAGGTGCGGTCCTGTGTGTCAGGTGCGTCCTGTGTGTCAGGTGCGGTCCTGCGTGTGTCAGGTGCGGTGTCCTGTGCATGTGTGTCAGATGCGGTCCTGTGTGTCAGATGCGGTCCTGTGTGTGTCAGTCCTGTGTGTCAGGTGCGGTCCTGCGTGTGCGTCAGGTGCGCTCCTGTCCTCACCAGCTGCAGTTCTCTGGAGGTGAACAGCAGGGGGAGCAGGAGTTTGCGCAGGGGGACGGTGAGCAGCAGCACGAAGGGAAAAGCCAGAGCCAGAGGAGACGCCATGACGAGCCACAGAAGAGCCAGACAGGTGATCTGCAGACAGGTGTACAGGTGCATGCGCCAGGGGCGCACCTGTCAACACACAACACACAGCACATACACACACAAGGCTTCAGTCAGAGACGTTCCACAAACTCTTCTCCTCACAACAACGTTCTCCACGTTCTCCACGAGCCACCAGTCGTTTAGAGTTTAGAGTTTAGAGTTTAGTCATTTATACAACTCCTCAGGATGAGAAAAGGTCTAGAGGAGGATCTGAGTCAGTTCTGGTTCTGGGTTCTGGACCGACCTTGGTGACGTAGCCGCTCTTGGGGTGGTGCTTCGTGGGCATGAGCAGGAGCTGGAGTCGCTCCGTGAGCTGGATGCCCTGCAGAGACATGACGCCCATGTAGAGGAAAACCCCGAACAAGACCGAGACCGGGATCTGCCTCAGGAGCCCGGCAACCAGCATCGACAGGCCTGACCAATCACAGAGCAGAGAGGGTTTAAACGGACCAATCACAGAGCACACAGGGTTTAAACGGACCAATCACAGAGGACACAGGGTTTAAACAGACCAATCACAGAGCAGAGAGGGATCCCCCCAGACATGACCCTGACACACACAGACACACACACACAGACACTTACACACAGTTTTGTATTTGCCTGTGATTTATTTTTTTCTATTTTCAACACATAAACTTGTTTGTAAATGTTTAAATCCTTGTGGCTCCTAAACTGATCTTTGTCAGACTGAGCCGCGCCGCTCCGGAGCCGCTCCGAGCCGCTCCGAGCCGCTCCGAGCCGCGCTGAGCCGCGCCCTGATTGGTCCAAACCCACGAGCAACGTCTCCATGAAGCTCTTTTACTCTCTGCTCTCGTTGAGGTCGGACGTGTTTCTCCTGCTCTGTTTTCTCTTCCTGTTTTGTCTCGTCTCGCGTCTTTAGACTTTGAGACTTTCTGTTTCTCCAAACACAAATTAACTCTGGATTTGGTAACTCCAGTCTAACTGACACTGTTTTTAATAAGAGAAGCTCAGAGTCGGGAGAATGTGTTTGTCTCTACAGAACTTTTCTCTGAGGAGGACGTAGAAACATCTGCCTGGTCTGAATCATCATCACACAACTTTTGCTCATTGGTTGATTTTTCTAAAAGTTGTGATCACCGAGGCTCTTCAGCTTCACTCGGCCGCTCGCTCTAACTGAAAGTGAAAGTAAAACTCTGAACTCATGATCTGTGACTGTGAACTTCGCACCACATGTTGGAAAACATCATGGAAAAGTTCTCGTGGTTGGTCACAGACTGGACGGGTTTTTGTTTTTGGAGCTCAGAGTGGAGAACATCTGAGAGACGTGAAGCTTTACAAAGTCTGGAGTTTGGACCTGAGACCGAGAGAAGATCAGAGCAGCTGCTCCACCAAAACCAAAACATGATGGATCTGTCGACCTTCTCCAGCGCCGCTGGACAAACTCCTCTGGTTCTAAAACTCGTCCAGGAGAGACTTGAGCAGGAGGAAACTCTCCTCCTCCAACTTCCTCTTCGTCCTCGCAGCTTTTGTCCGTCAGTGGGTCTAGGTCCAGCGCCCCCTGGCGGCAGGATCTGGAGATGTTCTGCAGATTTTGAGGTTGACTCCTCGTTCTTCTCCAGCTGTTTTAGTTTGATCTTCTGTCTGTTCTGTTTCTGTCGTTTCTTTTTGTCTCGTCTCGTCCGTCACTCATCAGATGTTCAGTTTTGTGTTTTGTGTTTTTAATCGTTGTATTATTTTGTACTACTCTAAGTTTTTTGTGTTGTATTTTTGTATGAAAAGTTTTTTATAAATAAAGTTTGATTGACAGAAGTTCATGAATCAGAGACTCACCGACGAGCAGAGCCACAACGAAGCCCGTCACCCTCTGCTCCCTCAGCAGGAGGCGGGGCTTGTCCTCCTGGGGGCGGGGCTTGTCCTCCTGTGGGCGGGGCTTGTCCTCCTGTGGGCGGGGCTTGTCTTCCTGTGGGCGGTGCTTGTCCACCGGCGGGGGCGGGGCCGGCTCGCTGATTGACAGAGCGTTGGCGTGCGTGACCGAGCGCACGGTGGCGGCCGATAACCATGGCAACCCGAAGAGCGCCGAGACTCCGCCCACCAGCACGATGACCAGCAGGTCGGCGTGGAAACCAGTGCCCTTCATCACGCGCTTACTCACGATCAGCCTGAGACCAAGACCAGGACCGGGACTTAGACCAGGACCAGAAACCAGAAACCAAAGACCAGACACCAGAGACCAAAGACCAGGACCGGGACTTAGACCAGGACCAGAGACCAAAGACCAGATACCACAGACCAAAGACCAGGACCGGGACTTAGACCAGGACCAGGACCAGAAACCAAAGACCAGAGACCAGAACCAAGACCATGGAGACCGGTGCCCTTCCCCACATGTTTATGATCAGTCTAAGACCAAGACCAGGCCTGAGACCAGATCAGACCAGAGACCAGGGTTAGACCAGACACAAGACCAGGTTTATAACCAGACCAGAGACCAAGACTCAGACCAGAGACCAGATCTGAGTCCGGAGCAGAAATCCCTTCACCACAAAACTGAGCTGAGACCCGAGACGAACCAAGAACCCAGAAGAAGGGATTAGTGTTTAGACCGGGTTCAGACCGGGTTTAGACCGGGTTCAGACCAGACCGGGTTTAGACCGGGTTCAGACCTGGTTCAGACCGGGTTTAGACCGGGTTTACTGTGTTTAGACCGGGTTTAGACCGGGTTCAGACCGGGTTTGGACTCACGCGGTGATCTGGGACTCCATGAAGAGGAGGATGAAGACGAGGAGGGCAGGCAGGACGCTCGCCGCCGCCATCCACAGCGGGAACTCCCCCCGAGCGCCGAGGGGCGGGACTAACCACGAACGCTTCTCAGGAGACGTCACCGCCAGACCACTGGGCACGCTCAGTTTCTGCAACACACACTGTTAGTCCTGGTCTGGTCTGGTCCTGGTCTGGTCCTGGTCTGGTCCTGGTCTGGTCTGGTCTGGTCCTGGTCTGGTCCTGGTCTGGTCCTGGTCCTGGTCTGGTCTGGTCCTGGTCTGGTGCTGGTCCTGGTCCTGGTCTGGTCCTGGTCTGGTCCTGGTCTGGTCTGGTCTGGTCTGGTCTGGTCCTGGTCTGGTCTGGTCTGGTCCTGGTCTGGTCCTGGTCTGGTCCTGGTCTGGTCCTGGTCTGGTCCTGGTCTGGTCCTGGTCTGTCTGGTCTGGTCTGGTCTGGTCTGGTCTGGTCTGGTCCTGGTCCTGGTCTGGTCTGGTCTGGTCTGGTCTGGTCCTGGTCTGTCTGGTCTGGTCCTGGTCCTGGTCCTGGTCTGGTCTGGTCTGGTCCTGGTCTGGTCTGGTCTGGTCTGGTCTGGTCTGGTCTGGTCTGGTCTGGTCTGGTCCTGGTCTGGTCCTGGTCTGGTCTGGTCTGGTCTGGTCTGGTCTGGTCTGGTCCTGGTCCTGGTCTGGTCTGGTCTGGTCCTGGTCTGTCCTGGTCCTGGTCTGGTCCTGGTCTGGTCCTGGTCCTGGTCTGGTCTGGTCCTGGTCTGGTCTGGTCTGCCTGGTCCTGGTCCTGGTCCTGGTCTGGTCTGGTGGTCTGGTCCTGGTCTGGTCCTGGTCCTGGTCTGGTCTGGTCTGTCTGGTCTGGTCTGGTCCTGGTCCTGGTCTGGTCTGGTCCTCTGGTCTGCCTGGTCTGGTCCTGGTCCTGGTCCTGGTCTGGGTCCTGGTCTGGTCTGGTCTGCTGTCTGGTCTGTCCTGTCTGGTCCTGGTCCTGGTCTGGTCTGGTCCTGGTCTGGTCCTGGTCTGGTCTGTCCTGGTCCTGGTCTGGACCTGGTCTGGTCCTGGTCTGGGTCCTGGTCTGGTCTGGTCCTGGTCTGGTCTGGTCTGGTCCTGGTCATGTCTGGTCTGTCTGGTCTGGTCTGGTAGGTCTGGGTCCCTGGTCTGGTCCTGTCCTGGTCTGGTCTTGGTCTGGTCCTGGTCTGGTCCTGGTCTGGTCCTGGTCTGGTCCTGGTCTGGTCCTGGTCCTGGTCTGGTCCTGGTCTGGTCCTGGTCCTGGTCCTGGTCTGGTCTGGTCCTGGTCCTGGTCTGGTCTTGGTCTGGTCCTGGTCTGGTCTGGTCTGGTCCTGGTCCTGGTCTGGTCCTGGTCTGGTCCTGGTCCTGGTCTGGTCCTGGTCTGCTGGTCTGGTCTGGTCCTGGTCCTGGTCCTGGTCCTGGTCCTGGTCCTGGTCCTGGTCCTGGTCCTGGTCCTGGTCCTGACCTGGGTGTACGTGTCTCTGATGTTGGCGTCGATCAGGACCATGATGAAGATGGAGATCGGGACCCCGAAGTCTCCGATGGTTCTCCTCACCTGCAACCAGAGAACGTCAGGTGCGGTCCTGTGTGTCAGGTGCCCTCTGTGTGTCAGGTGCCCTCCCTGTGTGTCAGGTGTCCTCCCTGTGTGTCAGGTGTCCTCCCTGTGTGTCAGGTGTCCTCCCTGTGTGTCAGGTGCGGTCCTGTGTGTCAGGTGCGGTCCTGTGTGTCAGGTGCCCTCTGTGTGTCAGGTGCCCTCTGTGTGTCAGGTGCCCTCTCTGTGTGTCAGGTGCCCTCTGTGTGTGTCAGGTGCCCTCTGTGTGTCAGGTGCCCTCTGTGTGTGTCAGGTGCCCTCTGTGTGTCAGGTGCCCTCTGTGTGTCAGGTGTGTGTCAGGTGCCCTCTGTGTGGTCAGGTGCCCTCTGTGTGTCAGGTGCCCTCTGTGTGTCAGTCAGGTGCCTCTGTGTGTGTCAGGTGCCCTCTGTGTGTCAGGTGCCCTCTGTGTGTCAGGTGCCCTGTGTCAGGTGTGTGTGTCAGGTGCCCCTCTGTGTCAGGTGTGTGTGTCAGGTGCCCTCTGTGCGTCAGGTGCCCTCTCTGTGTGTCAGGTGCCCTCTGTGTGCGTCAGGTGCCCTCTGTGTGTGTCAGGTGCCCTCTGTGTGTGTCAGGTGCCCTCTGTGTGTCAGGTGCCCTCTGTGTGTCAGGTGCCCTCTCTGTGTCAGTGCCCTCTGTGGTCAGGTGCTCTGTGTGTGTCAGGTGCCCTCTGTGTGCCAGTGTCGTGTGTCAGGTGCCCTCTGTGTGTGTCAGGTGCCCTCTGTGTGTCAGGTGCCCTCTGTGTGTCAGGTGCCCTCTGTGTGTCAGGTGCCCTCTGTGTGCGTCAGGTGCCCTCTGTGTGTCAGGTGCCCTCTGTGCGTCAGGTGCCCTCTGTGTGTCAGGTGCCCTCTGTGTGTCAGTCAGGTGCCCTCTGTGTGTGTCAGGTGCCCTCTGTGTGTGTCAGGTGCCCTCTGTGTGTCAGGTGCCCTCTGTGTGTCAGGTGCCCTCTGTGTGTCAGGTGCCCTCTGTGTGTCAGGTGCCCTCTGTGTGTCAGGTGCAGGTGCCCCTCTGTGTGCGTCAGGTGCCCTCTGTGTGCAGGTGCCCTGTGTGCAGGTGCCCTCGTGTGCAGGTGCCCTCTGTGTGTGTCAGGTGCCCTCTGTGTGTCAGGTGCCCTCTGTGTGTCAGGTGCCCTCTGTGTGTCAGGTGCCCTCTGTGTGTGTCAGGTGCCCTCTGTGTGTCAGGTGCCCTCTGTGTGTCAGGTGCCCTCTGTGTGTGTCAGGTGCCCTCTGTGTGTCAGTGCCCTCAGGTGCCCTCTGTGCCCTGTGTCAGGTGCCCTCTGTGTGTCAGGTGCCCTCTGTGTGTCAGGTCCCTCTGTGTGCGGTCAGGTGCCTCTGTGTGTCAGGTGCCCTCTGTGTGTGTCAGGTGCCCTCTGTGTGTCAGGTGCCCTCTGTGTGTGTCAGGTGCCCTCTGTGTGTCAGGTGCCCTCTGTGTGTCAGTCAGGTGCCCTCTGTGTGTGCAGGTCCCTCTGTGTGTGTCAGGTGCCCTCTGTGCAGGTCCCTCTGTGTGTGTCAGGTGCCCTCTGTGTGTCAGGTGCCCTCTGTGTGTCAGGTGCCCTCTGTGTGTCGTGCAGGTGCCCTCTGTGTGTGCAGGTGCCCTCTGTGGTCAGGTGCCCTCTGTGTGTCAGGTGCCCTCTGTGTGTCAGGTGCCCTCTCTGTGTGTGTCAGGTGCCCTCTGTGTGTCAGGTGCCCTCTGTGTGTCAGGTGCCCTCTGTGTGTCGTCAGGTGCCCTCTGTGTGTGTCAGGTGCCCTCTGTGTGTCAGGTGCCCTCTGTGTGTCAGGTGCCCTCTGTGTGCGTCAGGTGCCCTCTGTGTGCGTCAGGTGCCCTCTGTGTGTCAGGTGCCCTCTGTGTGTGTCAGGTGCCCTCTGTGTGTCAGGTGCCCTCTGTGTGTCAGGTGCCCTCTGTGTCAGGTGCCCTCTGTGTGTCAGGCGGTGCCCTCTGTGTGTCAGTGTGTGTCAGGTGCCCTGTGTGTCAGGTGCCCTCTGTGTGTCAGGTGCCCTCTGTGTGTCAGTGCAGGTGCCCTCTGTGTGTGTCAGGTGCCCTCTGTGTGCGTCAGGTGCCCTCTGTGTGTGTCAGGTGCCCTCTGTGTGTGTCAGGTGCCCTCTGTGTGCGTCAGGTGCCCTCTGTGTGTCAGGTGCCCTCTGTGTGTCAGGTGCCCTCTGTGTGCGTCAGGTGCGCACCCGTCCGGGCAGCAGGGCGGAGTTCTTGAGCTGGCGCAGGTAGAAGGCGCTCAGGTAGGTGCCGAGCATCAGGAGGAGCGACAGGAGCGCCGTGTTGGGGCGCGGCGGGTCGGCGGGCGTCGCTCCCGGGCGCCGCGGCCAATCGGAGGGCTCCGTGCCGTTCGGCCAATCGGAGGGCGCCGAGGAGTTCCACCAATCAGAAACCTCCGAGGCGTTGTCATGGACACAGCCCGAAAGAGGAAACTGCAGGAAGATCTACGAGAGAGAGAGCGGTTCAACCAGGATCTGAACCAGACTACACCAGGACCACATCCTGCTCTAGTCCTGCTCTAGTCCTGCTCTAGTCCTGGTTTAGTCCTGGTTTAGACCTGGTTTAGTTACGGTCCTGGTCCTAGTCCTGGTCTGGTCCCGGTCTGGTCCCAGTCTGGTCCTGGTCCTGGTTTGGTCCTGGTCCAGTCCTAATGTGGTCTGGTCCTGGTCTTGTCCTGATCTGGTCTGGTCCTGGTTTGGTCCTGGTCTGGTCCTGGTCTGGTCCTGGTCTGGTCCTGGTCCTGGTCCCGGTCCTGATGTGGTCTGGTCCTGGTCCTGGTTTGGTCCTGGTACGGTCCAGGTCCCGGTCCAGGTCCAGGTCCCGGTCCAGGTCCAGGTCCCGGTCCAGGTCCCGGTCCCGGTCCAGACCTTGTAGACCTTGACGAAGGTCTCGTAGATGAAGATGAGGGAGATGAGGACGGAGAAGATTTCTTGGGTGAAGCGGGAAACGTGTCGGACGAGGACGCTTCCCTCCAACGCCACGGTCGCCACGACGATGAGCACCAACCACAGCCCCACCCACAGCCGCGCCGTCAGGTACTCCACGCCCAGCGCCTGGCAGAACTACACCAGAGGTCAGGTGCGCCCCTGTCAGGACCCTGCCCACTCACTCTGTTAAAGCTGCACTCTTTAAATGTCATAATTATGAATTTAAAAGTCATAATTATGAATTTAAAAGTTATAATTATGAATTTAAAAGTCATAATTATGAATTTAAAAGTTATAATTATGAATTTAAAGTTATAATTATAATTATGAATTTAAAAGTGTCATAATTATGAATTTAAAAGTTTTAATTATTATGAATTTAAAAGTTATAATTATGAATTTAAATGTCATAATTATGAATTTAAAAGTTATAATTATGAATTTAAAAGTTATAATTATGAATTTAAATGTCATAATTATGAATTTAAAAGTTATAATTATTAATGAATTTATGAATTTAAAAGTTATAATTATGAATTAAATGTCATAATTAATTATAATTATGAATTTAAAAGTTATAAAGTTAAATTATGAATTAAATGTCATAATTATGAATTTAAAAGTTATAATTATGATTTAAATTTAAATGTCATAATTATGAATTTAAAAGTTATAATTATGAATTTAAAAGTTATAATTATGAATTTAAATGTCATAATTATGAATTTAAAAGTTATAATTATGAATTTAAAAGTTATAATTATGAATTTAAAATGTCATAATTATGAATTTAAAAGTCATAATTATGAATTTAAAAGTCATAATTATGAATTTAAAAGTTATAATTATGAATTTAAAAGTTATAATTATGAATTTAAAAGTTGTAATTATGAGTTTAAAAGTTATAATTAAGTGTAAAAGTTGGAGTTGAGAGTCAGGTCCTTCTGGTCAGTCGGCGTGTGTCGATGTTCTCACGTTGTAGAAGGCCTCCTCAAACACGAGCAGCGGCCCCGAGAAACCGACGATGAGCAGAGGCTGAGCGGCCACCACGGCGAAGACCAGACCCTGCACCGCCGTGGCAACGATCAACTCCGACACGCCAATCAGCCCGTCCGTCTTCTCCCCTGAAAGACACGCCCACCAGAGACACGGCCGTCACAGACACGCCCACAGACACGCCCACAGACACGCCCGTCACAGACACGCCCACAGACACGCCCACAGACACACCACAACAACACAGCCCGTCACAGACACACACCCACAGACACGCCCGTCACAGACACGCCCACAGTCACAGACACGCCCACAGACACGCCCACAGACACACCCACAAACACGCCCGTCACAAACACACCCACAAACACGCCCGTCACAGACACGCCCACAACACACGCCCACAGACACGTCACAAACACGCCCATCACAGACACACCCACAGGCCTCCAGTCCAGGTCCAGTCCAGGTCCAGTCCAGGTCCAGACCAGGTCCAGTCCAGGTCCAGTCCGGGTCCAGTCCAGGTCCAGTCCGGGTCCAGTCCGGGTCCAGTCTGGGTCTCACCCAGCAGTCCTCCGAAGGTGACGGCGGGCGACAGAGCGGCGAAGTAGATGAAGATGATGGCGGCGACGCACTGGGCGTTGAGGGCGTCGGTCAGGTCAGACACGTACTGAGGATACCTGTGTCTGACGTCCTTCAGGAGGCCCCCGAACAGGGTCCCCGAGCGCCGCAGGGGGTCCACGGGCGGGGCCGAGGGCGGGGCCAGGTCTGCGGGCACACGGAAGGGGGGGGGTTAGTTACACAGGAACCTGTTTTAAACTTGGTTGTTTTTATTATTCAGGTCGTTTTAGGAACAAATCCATCGCTGTTTCTGAAGTCACCAGGCCCCGCCCCCTCTCTAAGCCCCGCCCCTCCTAAGCCCCGCCCTCCTCTGCCTAAGCCCCGCCCCAGATAAAACCAGATAAAAGTGAAGTCAGTCCTGACCTTGGTCTTTGCCGTTGAATTCTCGGTGAGTTTTGGTGACGTTTGGTTGAACCTCGAGGTCCAGAGTCCGGATCAGGGTCTTCAGGAGGTCCTCCGAGTCCCGCGCCCGCGACACGGCCTCCGCCACGGTCTGCAACGGGTTCAACAAGGATCGCAACTTCAACAAGGCATTCAACAAAGACCTCAACCAGTTCAACGAGGATCTAAACCAGTTCAACAAGGATCTAAACCGGTTCAACAAGGATCGCAACCGGTTCAACAAAGACCTCAACCAGTTCAACGAGGATCTAAACCGGTTCAACGAGGATCTAACCGGTTCAACAAGGATCTAAACCAGTTCAACAAGGACCTGACCCGGTTTAAAGAGAATCGTAACCGGTCTGGAGGAGGTACCTGGTCCCGGAGGAGCGAGGCGAGCGCTCGGCCCGTCTGGACGTGGTTCTGATCCGAGGTCGGTCCCAGACTCAGGACCAAGACCTGGACCGGGACCTGAAGAACCTCCTGGAACAGAACCGGATCCTGGAGACGAACCAGAACCACCAGAGGGACGGACACACAACTGACCGCACCTGAAACACACAACACACACACACACATCACACACACACAACACACAACAACACACACAACACACACACACACACACACACACACACACACACACACACACACACACACACACACACAACACAACAACACAACAACACACACACACACACAACACACACACACACAACAACACACACAACACAACAACACACACACACACAACACAACACACACACACACACACACACACACACACACACACACACACACACACACACAACACACAACACACACACACACACACACACACACACACACACATCAACACACAAACACACACAACACACACACACACACACACACAACACACACACACACACATCAACACAACAACACACACACACACACACAACAACACACACACACACACACAACAACACACACACAACACACACAACACAACACACACACACACACACACAACACACACACACACACACACACACACACACACACACACACACACACACACACACACATCAACACAACAACACACACACACACACACACACACACAACACACACAACACACACACACATCAACACACACATCAACACAACAACACACACACACAACACACACACACACACACACACACACACAACACACACAACGCACACAACACATCACACACAACACACACACACACAACACACACACACACACACACACACACACACACACACACACACACACACACACACACACACACACACACAACACACACACACACAACACAACACACACACACAACACACAACACACACACACACATCAACACAACACAACACACACACATCAACACAACAACACACACATCAACACACACACATCAACACACACACAACACACAACACACACACATCAACACAACAACACACACACACACATCAACACACACACACACACACACACACACACACACACACACACACAAACACAAAACACACACAACAACACACACACACACACACATCAACACAACAACACAACAACACACACACACACATCAACACAACAACACACACACACACACACACACAACACACACACACACAACACACATCAACACACACAACACACACAACACACACAACAACACACACAAACAACACACACATCAACACAACAACACACACACACACACAACACACACACACACACACACAACAACACACACACACAACACACACAACAACACACACACACACACACACACAACACAACAACACACACACACAACAACACACACACACACACACACACACACAACACACAGAGGTGAGAGAGACATGTGAGGTACCAGAGAGAACCAGAGCCGCTGAGGTCCGGTCCAGACCCCGGTCCAGACCCCGGTCCAGACCCCGGTCCTGGTCGCTGTCTTTCTGTAAAACAAAAAAACTTTTAAAATCTTTATGAACTTTATTAAAGCCATGTAACTTTTCTACAGCAAGTCCAGACCAGGTCCAGACCAGGTCCAGACCAGGTCCAGACCAGGTCCAGACCAGGTCCAGACCAGATCCAGATCCAGACCAGGTCCAGACCATTAAACAGTTCTCACCTTTCTTCCTCGGTTTCCATTCACTTCACCCAAATCTTCATCACTGCAAACAGAAAACATCAGGACTAAACCAGAACTAAACCAGGACTAAACCAGGACTAAACTAGGTCTAAACCAGGTCTAAACCAGGACTAAACCAGGACTAAACCAGGACTAAACTAGGTCTAACCAGGTCTAAACCAGGTCTAAACCAGGACTAAACCAGGACTAAACCAGGACTAAACCAGGACTAAACTAGGTCTAAACCAGGTCTAAACCAGGTCTAAACCAGGACTAAACTAGGTCTAAACCAGGTCTAAACCAGGACTAAACCAGGTCTAAACCAGGACTAAACCAGGACTAAACCAGACTAAACCAGGTCTAAACCAGGACTAAACCAGGACTAAACCAGGACTAAACCAGGTCTAAACCAGGACTAAACCAGGTCTAAACCAGGACTAAACCAGGACTAAACCAGGTCTAAACCAGGACTAAACCAGGACTAACTAAACTAGGTCTAAACTAGGTCTAAACTAAACCAGGTCTAAACCAGGACTAAACCAGGACTAAACTAGGTCTAAACCAGGACTAAACCAGGACTAAACCAGGACTAAACCAGGTCTAAACCAGGACTAAACCAGGACTAAACCAGGTCTAAACCAGGACTAAACCAGGACTAAACTAGGTCTAAACCAGGACTAAACCAGGACTAAACCAGGACTAAACCAGGTCTAAACCAGGACTAAACCAGGTCTAAACCAGGACTAAACCAGGACTAAACCAGGTCTAAACCAGGACTAAACCAGGTCTAAACCAGGACTAAACCAGGACTAAACCAGGTCTAAACCAGGACTAAACCAGGACTAAACCAGGACTAAACCAGGACTAAACCAGGACTAAACCAGGACTAAACCGGGTGTGAACCTGTGTGGCAGGAGCAGGACTCTCCGAACTTGGTCTTGGTCTTGGATCTGGCCTGAAGTCTCCATTCGTTCCACCAGAGCCTCCACGAGTCCGGTCCAAGTCCTGGGACCGAGGTCCAGCCGCAGACCTGCCCAACGCCAGAACCTCACAGCCAATCAGAGCGCGGGAAAAGGGCACAAGACTACAAACATGGAAGCTAAAGGACTACAAACGTGGAGGCTAAAGGACTACAAACGTGGAGGCTAAAGGACTACAAACGTGGAGGCTAAAGGACTACAAACGTGGAGGCTAAAGGACTACAAACATGGAGGCTAAAGGACTACAAACATGGAGGCTACAAGACTACAAACATGGAGGCTAAAGGACTACAAACGTGGAGGCTAAAGGACTACAAACGTGGAGGCTAAAGGACTACAAACGTGGAGGCTAAAGGACTACAAACGTGGAGGCTAAAGGACTACAAACATGAAGGCTAGAGGACTACAAACATGGAGGCTAAAGGACTACAAACATGGAGGCTACAAGACTACAAACATGGAGGCTAAAGGACTACAAACATGGAGGCTAAAGGACTACGAAACATGGAGGCTAAAGGACTACAAACATAGAGGCTAAAGGACTACAAACATGGAGGCTAAAGGACTACAAACGTGGAGGCTAAAGGACTACAAACGTGGAGGCTAAAGGACTACAAACATGGAGGCTAAAGGACTACAAACGTGGAGGCTAAAGGACTACAAACGTGGAGGCTAAAGGACTACAAACATGAATCACTCTAAAACCTCACAAAAAAAGGTTTGTGCTGAGGAACATGAGGATTGTTAGGACCAAAAGGACTAAACCAGGACTAAACCCGGACTAAACCAGGACTCACCTGCAGACAGGGTCCTGAGCAGGTCCTGGCTCTGGTCTTGGTCCAGACTTTGGCTCCAGTGAGTCCGAGGTCTCCACTCCAAACCTCCATCATCATCGCACCTGTCAATCACACAGGACGCCACGTTTACTCCAGGACAGGAGCGCACCTGACACACAGAGCGCACCTGACACACAGAGCGCACCTGACACACAGAGCGCACCTGACACACAGAGCGCACCTGACACACAGAGCGCACCTGACACACAGAGCGCACCTGACACACAGACACACCTGACACACACACAGAGCGCACCTGACACACAGAGCGCACCTGACACACAGAGCGCACCTGACACACAGAGCGCACCTGACACACAGAGCGCACCTGACACACAGAACACACCTGACACACAGCAGGGCACCTGACACACAGAACGCACCTGACACACAGCGCGCACCTGACACACAGCAGGGCACCTGACACACAGAGCGCACCTGACACAAGACACCTGACACACAGAGCGCACCTGACACACAGAGGCACCTGACACACAGCAGGGCACCTGACACACAGAGCGCACCTGACACACAGAGCGCACCTGACACACAGAACGCACCTGACACACTGACACACAGAGCGCACCTGACACACAGAGCGCACCTGACACACAGGGAGGACTCACCTGTCAGAGCGCACCCTGAGCTCCTTCAGCTCCACAAACATCTGAAAAACACAAACGTGATGAGACCAGGTCTAAACCAGGTCTAAACCAGGTCTAAACCAGGTCTAAACCAAGGTCTAAACCAGGTCTAAACCAGAACCAAACCAGGTCTAAACCAGGTCTAAACCAGGTCTAAAACCAGTCTAAACCAAGTCTAAACCAGGTCTAAACCAGAACCAAACCAGGTCTAAACCAGGTCTAAACCAGAACCAAACCAGGTCTAAACCAGGTCTAAACCAGGTCTAAACCAGAACCTAAACCAGGTCTAAACCAGATCTAAACCAGGTCTAAACCAGAAACCAAAAACCAGGTCTAAACCAGGTCTAAACCAGGTCTAAACCAAGTCTAAACCAGGTCTAAACCAAGTCTAAACCAGGTCTAAACCAAGTCTAAACCAAGTCTAAACCAGGTCTAAACCAAGTCTAAACCAGGTCTAAACCAAGTCTAAACCAGGTCTAAACCAGAACCAAACCAGGTCTAAACCAGAACCAAACCAGGTCTAAACCAGGTCTAAACCAGGTCTAAACCAGAACCAAACCAGGTCTAAACCAGAACCAAACCAGGTCTAAACCAGGTCTAAACCAGGTCTAAACCACTAAACCAGTCTAAACCAAGTCTAAACCAGTCTAAACAAGGTCTAAACCAGGTCTAAACCAAGGTCTAAACCAGGTCTAAACCAAACCAGGTCTAAACCAAGTCTAAACCAGGTCTAAACCAGAACCAAACCAGGTCTAAACCAGAACCAAACCAGGTCTAAACCAGAACCAAACCAGGTCTAAACCAGGTCTAAACCAGGTCTAAACCAGGTCTAAACCAGAACCAAACCAGGTCTAAACCAAGTCTAAACCAGGTCTAAACCAGAACCAAACCAGGTCTAAACCAGGTCTAAACCAGGTCTAAACCAGGTCTAAACCAGGTCTAAACCAGGTCTAAACCAGAACCTAAACCAGGTCTAAACCAGAACTAAACCAGGTCTAAACCAGGTCTAAACCAGGTCTAAACCAGGTCTAAACCAGGACCTGGTGCAGTCAAACACTGAGGTCTTACCTGAGTGTGAAGACTCGTCTGGTCCCACATCTCGACCAAAGTTCAGTCCTGATCTGCTCCTGGTTTGGTCTGAGTCCCTCTGAAACCTGAGACCTGGACTAAACCTGGATCACACCTGGACTAAACCTGGATTAGACCAGGACTAAACCTGGATTAGACCAGGACTAAACCTGGATTAGTGGAGTCTCGTTTTTCTCACTTTGTTTAATCACTTTCTCACAGAAACTTCAGCGCCGCTCCAACACTCAAGTCACTCAAGTCCTCCGACACTCAAGTCACTCAAGTCCTCCGACACTCAAGTCCTCTGACACTCAAGTCACTCAAGTCCTCCGACACTCAAGTCCTCTGACACTCAAGTCACTCAAGTCCTCCGACACTCAAGTCCTCTGACACTCAAGTCACTCAAGTCCTCCGACACTCAAGTCCTCTGACACTCAAGTCACTCAAGTCCTCGACACTCAAGTCCTCTGACACTCAAGTCACTTAAGTCCTCTGACACTCAAGTCCGGACTCTGTCTGGACCTGGACCTGGTCCTGGTTTGGTTCTGTTCCTGAAACTAGGAGGAGAAAAGAGGCGGAGTTAAACCTGCGACTGACAGGAGCGCGGTGGCAGGAGCGCGGCGGCAGGAGCGCGGCGGCAGGAGCGCGGCGGCAGGTGGGAACAGGACCAAACTGGATTAAACTGGATCAGAGTGAAAAAGTGAAAATCCCCCAAACTCCCGAACCACAGGAAAAGTGTCCTGCTCAAGGGCACAGTGACAGGGGCAGTGGCAGTGACAGGGGCAGTGACAGGGGCAGTGACAGTGACAGTGACAGGGGCAGTGACAGGGGCAGTGACAGGGGCAGTGACAGGGGCACAGCCCTCTGAATTCTTCTGTTCTGTTGTTCCTCACTCAGGTCTGTTCCTCGTGTTTGTTTGTTTGTTTGTTTATTCTGAGTTTGTTTCATCTGCAAAACTCCAAACTCTCTGTTCCACCTTGTGACGTCATCAGGTGAACAGCTCCTTTTCCCTTTAGTTGAGTCGAGATCAAAACTCCAGGACTAAAATGTTCCAGGTGATTCTAGTGAAGGTGAAGTGTGGAGTTTAAAAACACAGTGGAGCACTTCCTGTATCACCACATGATGACATCACCAGGTGTTTTCTGTTTGTAAATGTCAGGAGTTTGAATAAACCTGGAAAAGACGAGAACGAACGTACCTGCGCAGGTGTGCTCCTGTCAGGTCCAGGTGTCAGGTGTGCTCCTGTCAGGTCCAGGTGTGCTCTGTCAGGTCCAGGTGTGCTCTCCTGTCAGGTCCAGTGTGTGCTCCTGTCAGGTCCAGTGTGTCCTGTCAGGTCCAGTGTCAGGTCCTGTCAGGTCCTGTCAGGTCCAGGTGTCAGGTGTGCTCCTGTCAGGTCCAGGTGTGTGCTCCTGTCAGGTCCAGGTGTGCTCCTGTCAGGTCCAGGTGTCAGGTGTGCTCCTGTCAGGTCCAGGTGTCAGGTGTGCTCCTGTCGAAGTGTCCTCAGCACTGACTCCTCCTTATATGAGCCCAGCCTTAAACCAGCCCAGACTTGGTGTAGACCTGGTTTGGACCTGGTTTAGTCCTGGTTTGGGACCTGGTTTGACCTGGTTTGGACCTGGTTTACCTCCTGGTTTAGTCCTGGTTTGGACCTGGTTGGACCTGGTTTGGACCTGGTTTAGTCCTGGTTTAGTCCTGGTTTGGACCTGGTTTGGACCTGGTTTGGACCTGGTTTGGACCTGGTTTTAGTCCTGGTTTAGTCCTGGTTTGGACCTGGTTTGGACCTGGTTTAGTCCTGGTTTAGTCCTGGTTTGGACCTGGTTTGGACCTGGTTTAGTCCTGGTTTAGTCCTGGTTTGGACCTGGTTTTGGACCTGGTTTAGTCCTGGTTTAGTCCTGGTTTGACCTGGTTTGGACCTGGTTTGGACCTGGTTTGGACCTGGTTTAGTCCTGGTTTAGTCCTGGTTTGGACCTGGTTTAGACCTGGTTTGGACCTGGTTTAGTCCTGGTTTGGACCTGGTTTACCTGGTTTCCTGGTTTAGTCCTGGTTTAGTCCTGGTTTGGACCTGGTTTAGTCCTGGTTTGGACCTGGTTTGGACCTGGTTTAGTCCTGGTTTAGTCCTGGTTTAGTCCTGGTTTGGACCTGGTTTGGACCTGGTTTGGACCTGGTTTAGTCCTGGTTTGGACCTGGTTTGGACCTGGTTTACCTGGTTTTACCTGGTTTAGTCCTGTTTGGACCTGGTTAGTCCTGGTTTGGACCTGGTTTGGACCTGTTTGGACCTGGTTTAGTCCTGGTTTAGTCCTGGTTTGGACCTGGTTTGGACCTGGTTTAGTCCTGTTTTGGACCTGGTTTGGACCTGGTTTGGACCTGGTTTGGACCTGGTTTAGTCCTGGTTTGGACCTGGTTTGGACCTGAGTCCGTGAGAACTCGTCTTTGTTTCGGTTCCGAATAAACAAACTTTGATTTACACTAAACACAGAGAAAAGTGAAAGTGTTAATTAAGAAAAACACCGGATCAGAGTCAAATATTTACACCAAACACCCAGATGCCCTCCCACCCCCTGCCCCTCCCCCTGCCCCACCCCCTGCCCCCCCCCTGCCCCCCCCCCCCCCTGTGCCCTCCCCGTGTGTGTCACATGTCCCTCTTGTGTGTGTGTCAGGTGCCCTCCTGTGTGTGTGTCAGGTGCCCTCCCCGTGTGTGTCAGGTGCCCTCTCATGTGTGTGTCAGGTGCCCTCCCCGTGTGTGTCAGGTGCCCTCCCTGTGTGTGTCAGGTAGGTGCCCTCCTGTGTGTGTGTCAGGTGCCCTCCCGTGTGTGTCAGGTGCCCTCCTGTGTGTGTGTCAGGTGCCCTCTCGTGTGTGTCAGGTGCCCTCCCCGTGTGTGTCAGGTGCCCTCCCCGTGTGTGTTAGGTGCCCTCCTGTGTGTGTGTCAGGTGCCCTCCCCGTGTGTGTCAGTGTTGTGCCCTCCCGCGTGTGTCAGGTGCCCTCCTGCGTGTGTGTGTCAGGTGCCCTCCTGCGTGTGTGTCAGGTGCCCTCTCGTGTGTGTGTCAGTGTGTGTCAGGTGCCTCGGTGCGTGTGTGTGTGTCAGGTGCCCTCCTCGTGTGTGTGTCAGTGTGTGTGTCAGGTGCCCTCTCGTGTGTGTGTCAGGTGCCCTCCTGTGTGTGTGTCAGGTGCCCTCCTGTGTGTGTGTCAGGTGCCCTCCTCGCGTGTGTGTCAGGTGCCCTCTCCAGGTGTCCTGTGTGTGTCAGGTGCCCTCCTGTGTGTGTGTGCAGGTGCCCTCCTCACGTGTGTGTGTCAGGTGCCCTCCACGTGTGTGTTCAGGTGCCCTCCAGGTGCCCTCTCGTGTGTGTCAGGTGCCCTCCACGTGTGTGTGTCAGGTGCCCTCTTGTGTGTGTGTGTCAGGTGCCCTCTCGCGTGTGTGTCAGGTGCCCTCCGTGTGTGTGTCAGGTGCCCTCCTGTGTGTTGTGTCAGGTGCCCTCCACGTGTGTGTGTCAGGTGCCCTCTCGCGTGTGTGTCAGGTGCCCTCTCGTGTGTGTGTCAGGTGCCCTCTCGTGTGTGTGTCAGGTGCCCTCCTCGCGTGTGTGTCAGGTGCCCTCCTCGCGTGTGTGTCAGGTGCCCTCCTCGCGTGTGTGTCAGGTGCCCTCGTGTGTGTGTGTCAGGTGCCCTCCTCGCGTGTGTGTCAGGTGCCCTCCCGTGCCCCGGATGCCCTCCCGCGCTGTGATTGGTGGAGCAGGTCACATGACTCGGCGGTGAAACCCGACTCTCCTACATTTCCCATCAGCCCCTGCAGCTGTCCTTGTGCCGCTCCGGCCCGCGTGACCTCTGACCTTATATGGGCACGTTTCCCTGGAGACCGAGTGGGGGGCGGGGCCGGCTCTAAAAACAGCTCAGGCTCAGCGGGTCCCGGTCCAGACCTGGTTCAGTCCCGGTCCTGGTCCCGGTCCTGGTCCTGGTCCTGGTCCTGGAGAACTACAGCCACAATCGGACTTTGCCTTTTTCCTTTCCTACCTCCTAGCTCCTCTCCTACCTCCTAACTCCTTTCCTGGATTCTTTTCTCAGAAATTTTTGTTTTTGTAGAGACAGATCTGTCCTTGGACCTGGTTCAGTCCTGGTTCAGTCCTGGTTTAGTCCTGGTTTAGTCCTGGTTTAGTTCTGGTTTAGTTCTGGTTTAGTCCTGGTTTAGTCCTGGTTCAGTCCTGGTTTAGTCCTGGTTTAGTTCTGGTTTAGTTCTGGTTTAGTCCTGGTTTAGTCCCTGGTTTAGTCCTGGTTTAGTTCTGGTTTAGTCCTGGTTTTAGTCCTGGTTTAGTCCTGGTTTAGTCCTGGTTTAGTCCTGGTTTAGTCCTGGTTTAGTCCTGGTTTAGTCCTGGTTTAGTTCCTGGTTTAGTCCTGGTTTAGTTCTGGTTTAGTCCTGGTTTAGTCCTGGTTTAGTCCTGGTTTAGTCCTGGTTTAGTCTGGTTTAGTCCTGGTTTAGTCCTGGTTTAGTCCTGGTTTAGTCCTGGTTTAGTTCTGGTTTAGTCCTGGTTTAGTCCTGGTTTAGTCTGGTTTAGTTCCTGGTTTAGTCCTGGTTTAGTCCTGGTTTAGTCCTGGTTTAGTTCTGGTTTAGTCCTGGTTTAGTCCTGGTTTAGTCCTGGTTTAGTTAGTTCTGGTTTAGTCCTGGTTTATTAGTCCTGGTTTTAGTCCTGGTTTAGTTGGTTTAGTCTGGTTTAGTTCCTGGTTTAGTAGTCCTGGTTTAGTCCTGGTTTAGTTCTGGTTTAGTCCTGGTTTAGTCCTGGTTTAGTCCTGGTTTAGTCCTGGTTTAGTCCTGGTTTAGTTCTGGTTTAGTCCTGGTTTAGTCCTGGTTTAGTTCTGGTCATGGACTCTCTGGAGAAACAGTTGGTTTGTCCCATTTGTCTGGAGATGTTCCAGAAGCCTGTGGTGATTCTTCCGTGTCAACACAATCTGTGCCGCAAGTGTGCCAACGACGTGTTCCAGGTGAGCCCCCCCGTGTGTGACCGGGCCCGTGTGTGCCCCCGTGTGTGCCCCCGTGTGTGACCGGGCCCGTGTGTGTGTGCCCCCCCGTGTGTGTGTGACCCCCGTGTGTGTGACCGGTGTGCCCC